CGGCGCTGGGGGGGGTGGCGTGGCGCTCGACGGGGGCTCGGGGGGGCACTTTTTTTTGCTGCTTGGGGCAGCAAAAAAGTTAGAGCCGGCCCTGGGTGAGAGGCAAAACATTGTCATTGATCAAAAACTGGCTAGGTGACAGAAATCAAAGAGTAGGATGAAATGGTCAATTTCAATCATGGCTAAAGATTATCAGTGGGTGCCTCAAAGTTCTGCACTAGATCCCCGAGCCCCGGGGCCACGGTGATGATAAGGCCCTACTGGCTCCCAGCGGCCAAAAGGGAGGAAATCAAAGCCGAAGTGAAGAGAATGTTAGAATTAGGGGTCATTGAGGGATCACAGAGTCAGTGGTCCAGCCCGATCATGCTGGTGCCCAAATCCGATGGCACCACAATGTTCTGCAATGACTTTCGCCGACTGAATGGGGTATCCCAGTTTGATGCACACCCTATACCCTGCATTGACGAGTTAGTAGAACCTACAGGCAATGCCTGGTTCCTGACCACCCTGGATTTGACAAAGGGGTATTGGCAGATCCCTCTAGCCAAAGAATCAAAAGAAAAGACTGCTTTCTCCACACCAGAGGGGCTATTTCTGTACAAGTGTGAGTGTTCCTAGGTGTAGTGGGGTACTACCAGTGATTTATCCCCCACTTCAATACCAGGGCAAGTCCCCTGACAGACCTGGTAAAGGCCCGGGGCCCTGACATGGTGAGATGGACCGATGTGGTGGAGGGGGTGTTCACAGACCTATGGACAGCCCTCTGCAGTAACCCTGTGCTCATAGCCCCGAACTTTAATAAAGAATTCATTTTACAGACGGATGCATCCTAAGTTGTGCTGGGGGCTGTCCTGTCACAGATGGTCGGAGAGAATAAACATCCAATCCTTTATCTTAGCAGAAAACTCCTTCCGAGGGAACAGAAATATGCAGTAGTAGAGAAGGAGTGCCTTGCCATCAAATGGGCCATGGAAACTCTGTGATATTACCTGCTAGACTGGCGATTTGTCCTCGTGACCAACCATGCCCCCCTCCAATGGATGCAATGGAACAGAGAGAAGAATGCAATGGTCACCAGGTGGTTCTTGTCCCTCCAACTGTTCCATTTCAGCATTCCACACAGGGCTGGAAGCCACCACAGCAATGCAAATGGCTTGTCATGGGAACACTGTCTGATGACCCAAGCTGCCCAACCTCATGGTGTTGAGTGGGGGGAGGGATATGTGACGGGGTCAGGCTAGATGGCTGCAGGAGAGTGCTGAAGGCAGATATATTAGCCCCAGGATAAGCAGGTCCCTTTTCCCTTGGTAGCTGAACAGGGGTTACTCTAGGTTAATTAGGACACCTGGGGTGAATCAAGGGTCTGCCAGAACCTGTTAAAAGCCTCCCCTCCAGCCAGAGAAGCCCCAGCAATAGGAGCTGAGGGAGGAAGGTGAGCTACTGGAGAGCTACTGGAGAGCTGGGCAGTGGAGATGCTGACAAGCATTTGGAGAGAAGCCACGCAGGTACAGAGGCAAAGGGTGGGAGAATCCCTGCCTAACAGGATGGACGCCCCTTCCAGGTCCCAGAGGTGTGAGAGAAGAGACCCTGCCAGAGGGGAGAGACTGAACCGGGTGTCTGGTCTGTTGCCACCAGGCCCAGAAAGGCTACCAGAGACTGAGAGGCTTCTCTACCCCTCCCGCCTCCACCCAGGGGCGTGGGGAAAATCCTGAGGGAAAAGAGGAGTAGCCCAGCCCACCTCTAAAAGGGAGCGTGGGACCCACCAAGGCGGAGAGGAAGCTCTGTCACACTTAGTTTTAGTCTGAAGTTGCCTAGCTTCAGTTTCAAGTCATTAGAACTAATTATACGTTGTGCACTAGATTAAAAAGCCCTCTACTATCAGAAATCATCTTTCCATGTAAGTACTTATGATCAAGTCATCACATAACCTTCTCTTTGCTAAGCGAAATAGATTGAGCTTCTTTAGTCTCTCGTGGTAAGGCGGGCTTTGCACACCTCAGCTTCTTATTGTTTGAAGAGCTAAACTTTTCTATTTTGTTTTCAGCATTTTTACTTCTTTCTTTTCCCACAATAAGATATTGACCCCCTTCTATAGGAGTGAGCTCTGTGTATATTTTCATAGCGATTTCAAAAGTGTGCTTATTAGGACACACCAAATGTACAGCCTAAGGGTAAGCTCCTAGTGTCTGCTCTGTAAGTGTGTGAGTGCCTGCACTAGTCAAGTATGGCTGGGAAGATAGGTGGGATAATTTGCACTGCACACCAGTTTGGAAGTTGCTATTATTTTTAAACTGCAAAATCTTGCAATCAAGAGGATGGGATATAGCCACTGTATTCCAACTGCTGCGTCACCAAAATACGCAAGAGTCTGTCTGGGACATGCAGTAAAGTACTTATGCTTTTTTTTTAAGTTATGGTTAAACTTGGGTCTATGTTACTTTACATAAAGTACCTAGTGGACAACAGAAATCTTGCCAGCATGTTTTAGCAATGCAAGAAAAGGTTTTTATTCTGGTGCTAGAGTTCTGATATGCTAAAACTGTGTGATCCATATATCATATATAGTCACAGATCTATGTTGAGCTGTATATGAACACATATAATGATTAGCTGTGTCTTTGCCAAGCATTTGTGACCTCCATAGACATATTGTAACTGATAATTAAGTGCAACTGAGTCCCAACAACAGTTTACTTTTCAGGAATGGAAAGCCAGTGGAAATATAATTTACCGGAGGCTACTTCCATCCTCCAGAGCTATACACTGTTTCACTAGATCAGCACAGAGCTATCAGAGCCAGAGAGCTGTACTGTCCAACAGAGAAGGTGTAGGGAACCAGTGAGAGATGTAGCAGAGAAGTGGGTGTGTGGATGGAATAGAGGGTAGCCAGTTTGGGGCTCCTGTCTCAGCTCAGAGCAGGTGATAGTACTGTGGCACGCTAAGTATGAGTGCCTCCATGGGGCACTTCTAAGAAGGGAAGGAAGAAGTCATTGAGAGTAAGAAAGCCAGAGGGGAAGATATCTGGGGGATGAACACCTACGTGGGGAGCAAGTGCCATGGCCATCTCTGTCCCAAACATTCATGGCCTCATTACTACTACTCCCCAGAAATGTACCTCCAGCTTCTCGTAACACCCTATTGGCTCCAGCCCATATGCTGAGCTTCTGGCCATCAGCCTGCAAGTCCCAGTCTGAAGAACAAGCTATGGTTCATCGGCCTCAAAAGATTTAAAGGTTGAGGCAGCTGCTAGAGGAGCTGAGTTGGCGGCTGGACTTCTGCCACTGCTTCAAGCTACCAGTCTCCCCCTCCTTTTGCCCTCTCCAAATATAACAGGGATCATGGATGGACATTGGAGGCTGAAGTTTCTTATTGTAAAACATGTTTTCCAGACCTCAGAACATTCTTGAATCTCTTTTTCTGAGCCCTCTCCAGTTTTTCAGTATCTTTTCTAAAGTGTGGACACCAAAACAGGACACAGTTCCAGAAGTGGTCTCACCGATGACATATTCAGAGGTCATATCACCTCTCTGCTCCTGCTTGATATTCCCCTCCTAACACACCCAAAGATCACATTAGCCATTTTAGTCACAATGGGAGCTCATATTCACTTGGTTATCCATGACCCCCAAAGTCCTTTTCAGAATCATTGCTTGTTAGAGTACAAGCTTGTCAAAATGAATTACATTTTTAGCTCTCCAGCTAAGAGGCAAACCACAGATGGTCTATGGAATTAATTTGTGTATAGTATTAAAATATGGTTCCCTCAATTGGACGGTTACCTTGTACCTTTTCCAGGATGCGGGTGGGCTTAGCACTTTAAAAAAAAATACTTAATTCTAAACCAACGAAGACTTTGGGATTGGCAACAGTGTAACTCTTTGCACAGATCACTTCCTAGTGGATGACGATTTACCAGGCTGTTTGTATGCAAGGAGTTATCCCATTCCTGCTTTATTTGTTTGGGAATATATGTTAATCACAATTTTTATAAAGTTACGAGTACCAGCAGGTGTACCTGAGCACATCAGAATTTACCAGCACTAAGTACAAGGGTATGACATGTACAGCAGTGACTGATTATTTTTCAGTAGGGTTTACAATTTTCCCCAGGAAGAGCAAGGCATCGGTGCTTCGATCAATAATCATAATCAGGAAGGGCCTGTTGAATTGAATGATCGGAGGAAGAGATGTAGGAACCATTTCTACGACAGTGACTGCTGCTGCTTCAGTGCCGTTCTCATGAACATTCAGCAGGGCCTTGTGAACAGCCTGCAAGGAAATGAAGCAAACGTTACAGTCTAAGTATAGAACAGTGGGCAGTGGCTGAAAGTGAACATGCTCACTTTTAAATCAGAGCTCTCTGGAAAATCAGCTGGCAAGACATGGGCCCAATAAGAGCAGAACTGATGGAGCACAATGGAAGAAATGCGGACAGCATTCCCAATGAGTTCATTAGGAGCTTTGTCTGTGTAAGTAAGTATTGCAGGGTTAGGTGCATTAATATTAAAAGACTGAGCTGGAAGAATCAAATCACCACAAAGGGACTCTCCTATTCACTACTCACCACAGAAGAATAGTCTCAGGGTCTGAAATAAATGTCTAGTGAAGAATTAGTTTACAGCAGAAAACTGAATCAGATTCAAGAGGAATTATGATGTCAGAGGGAAAGGAACCAGCTAGCTAAGCTCCAGGTATCAATTCACATTTAAGTACAAATATTGACTGATTTCTTTGTAAAAAGTTCTGTATTTGGAACTCTCTGTACTGTGCCTAATGTGACCTAAAGTATATTCTTTGCCAATGTTAGTTTAAATTGAAGACTATTATGGGTTATTATATTTTAGTTGTCAGCAGTGGTTAAACTCTTTTCCTGTGTGCACTCATGTGTCATCGTAGTGTCTGGAAATATTAAAAATTTACCCTAGTGTTAGATGTAACGAGCGAACATTATCTGTGATAAGCAAGTTATTGCTTCTTTCTAGGAAAGAGCACTTTTCTCGGGTCCACTCCTGCCTACATTGATGGCACTGGGAGTCTTGCCAGTGACCTCTACAGGAGCAGGATTAGGTCATTTATAGTTATAAAATATACACATTTAAAAACAAATCCTATGAAACTCTGGTGGTGCAAAACAGTCATAAACAGATGATGGATGATTCCACTTGCATAGAGAAATCTCAGGATGGTCTTCCCAGCCTGTGTCATAAGGTGCAAGTCTGGGGGATAAGAGGCATGGCTAAGGTTCCTCTATGCCCAGTGATCCCTTGACATTGGAAGGGCCCTTGGGGGCCTCTCAATAGACAGCCTTAATTTAAACAACCATCAGGCTGCTCTAGTTTATGACTAAGGACGTGATTATGTCACCACTGTCAAGGAACCTGTGAGTTTTGCCATTTATTTCAACTTTTCCAGGACAGTGATGACCTTTCATGGTCCCTTGAATTTTAACATTTATATGGACTCTGCTGCCAAGCATTACAGTTTTAGTTCAGTTTGATCTAGTCCTCTTTGAAATGGGGATAGATAAAAGTGAATTAATGAACTGTTAATGTTACAGTCGCTGATCAAAGTAAATTTAGCCAATTGTCAATGCCCAGCAGCAGGGTCCACACAAACAGTTGGTTAATTCACTTTGATCAACTGCTTTGGGTTAACAGTTTGTTAGTTTGCTTTGACCTAGTCCCATTTCAAGGAGGAGTAGATCAAAGTGAACTAACAAACTGTTATAGTGCATCATCAGGGTCCACACTGTTGCTGTGACCATAGGGCAAAATTATCTTTTTTTTTTTACTATGACTGTGCTGTGAATTATGCATAATTTTACTGTGACAAAATTGTATCCATATTTATGACCTGTCTGCCAGCCCCATAGTTATGGGTGTTTAAAGATAGCATGATGATGACCATATGCCAAGCTGTACTGAACATAGCTTAGACACTGCCCAGGGTGAGGGTGATTAGGTGCAGACAAATCCATTTAGTACCACCTCTGTTTACAAACTTACTTTTGAAATCTTCAGCTTGGAATTCTCAGTGATTCCAGACAGATCGGCATTGTCCTCGAATACATCAGTCACACCCAATCTCTTGAATATCTCTTTGACATCATAGGAGCCCGAAATAGAAAATTTTGGAATGTACAGTTCTATTCTTCTGTTGAAGGCAATACAAGATGATGATAAAATATTGCATTCAGATAACACTGTGGAGTACCTGCTAGATAGTGATGCCTGAAATAGTTCTTGGGCATGCCAAGAAGTCCACTTGGATTTTTTGCATTCTTTTGGGAGCAAATCCAGTCCCCAGCTCTCTGGCTGTAGAGAAACCCTTGTCAAAACACAACTGGCACCGTTTTTCTGTGACGTGTGAGGCTGAATTGGGAGGGCCATGTAGGGATGTGATGCCTCTATATAGTAAGCAACCCCGTTCAGTGCAAATTCCCTTTGGGTTCCTCCTGAGGTGCAGCATCTGGGATGGAAGGATTTGCCACTGCATGGATTCTCCTATTTCTCACCCTGGGGGGGGCACCCAAGAGCTTACTGAGCTTGCATCTGAAAGGTGTTTTTATGGAGCAGCTCTGCAGCTATTCTACAACCCAATGGGGGAAAAGGGGAATGTTCTAACCACCTGACCCCTTCCTATCTGCTCAGCCACTAGACCTGTTACACAGACTGATACTAGTCTCTGGTTTCCCCTCTTTGGAATAGTACACGAGGATCGTGTAGCTCTTGAAGAGATGAGCCTTCTCATAATCCCTCTGTTCGTTTTTTTGGGCAGTGAGGAACACTTGAGAAACGTCTCCTTCCTTTCCAAAACATCCTTTTGGTTCCATAAGGCTGCGTCAATATCTTTATTCAACAGACTACTACCGTTCATGGCAATGAATCAAAGAAGTTGGAGATGGAAAACACCCATTTTGGCCATCTTGTCTATTCCCCCTGCCCTGCTCCCTTACAATGCAGGTTTCTGCCTAACAATATGCATTTGAGTTCTTTATCCTGTCCAGTTCTGTCCTTAGGGAGACCCTTCCACATTAAGTAATGTTTTATGATATTTGGATTACATTTTCCTTTTGCTTGATTTCACTCCTAATTATTTTCCTTTGCTTACCACTCCTAATTATGGCCTATTACTTGCTGCTGCAGGCACTGAATCAATGGCAGAAATCCCATTGATTTTAATAATGCAGGACCAGATCCTATATCACTAAGCAATTCCTGTCTCTGCTTGGTGTTTGCACCCTCCAAATAATTGCATGCCAGGTTTGCAAAATACTATTTCTCTGCTTGCCCAGAGCAATGAAATTTGGGGTGTGCAAGTAAAATGTCAACATCAGCATCATGATAAATGGTGAACAAGTATAATTTGTATCTGGTCCAATAAATTCCCATGGGTATTTACAATGCTGTTATCCACAAGTTCTATCAGTCTTAGTCATCATTTGGCTACATTGTGCACATTTATACATTTCCTCTTAAAATTCATCTCTCCAATCCCTGTTTATTTTTTCTGACTTCTCTGATTTCCCAAGACTCATTGACATATTTCTGGTATTAAGGTGCCGAGGACTGAATTATGTTTCACTGTACGTGCAATCTCAGCAGTGCTCTGTAGCACCTGGACTCTCTGCATATGCAGCCCAATATTACATTGGTTTACTTTTGCTGTCACCTCACATTGCAAATTCATTTCTCATTTCTTTCTGCTCTCACCTACGTTGTCTTCAGCAATACTGATCTCCAGCTACCTCCCTTCCTTTGAATGTCTGTATCTTGGATTATTTTTTCCTACTGCATTAGCTTACATTTTTCCAGATCAAGTTTTTGTGTGGAATAGTCTGCTGAACTCTAGGCAGATGTTACATCAGCATTCCCTGGGCCTGATTCTGCTCTCAATTCAGTGAGAATCAGGAATAACTCACTGAAGTCAGTGGAGTGACACCAGTGTAAAATTGGTGTGAGATCAGAATTAGGCCTACCCTGTTTTTTATCTTGTCATTTGATACAAAAGCACGAGTCCCATCCAAGGTGTCAAAATGTTTTACAAATATCAGTGAGTTAAGTCTTGCAATGGCAGGTAAATGTCATCATCCACCTTTTTAAGGATGGCATAATTGTGGCAGTGTAAAGGTAAGGGCTCAAGAATAAGTAGAAAGTCTCTGGCAGAAATGGGAATAGCCCCTAGATCTCCTGACTCTCAGACCTGTCCCTTAACCACAAGACCATCCTGATTCCTACTGCAATTCCTACTTGTTGAAAGTAAAAAGCATCACAGCTTTATTTTTGTTTAGTTCTTTATGGCCATTGCATCACTGAAACCTCCAATGAGTCAACATTGTGGTACCTAAAGAACTGTGGCACCTAGTTTAATTTTGTCTACAATTTGGATTCTATTCTATATTTACAGTAAAACATCAAAGCAGAAAATAAGAGTTACCTTTGTTTAAGTGATTTTACCCATTTAGACACAGTTTCTCTCAACAGAGCATTCTCCACTTGCTTCATTTTTCCTTCATCAGGCAGGATAAATAATGCTGTAGCATGTCCATCGTAAGGTATTTCCACCACCTGACAAGACAACTCCTTATCAGAGTAACTGTTATAACCTCCATCTCGGGTCATCATATTTACTTTAACTGATGTTTTCCCATCCACAAAAAAGTCTGCTTCATGGGTGAGCGAATCACTGAAAGGATGTTCCCAGTAGGCTGTGAAAGAATGCAATTGACTATAGTGTGAAAGAGGACTTATTAGTATAAACCACACTAAATCAAGTATAATAAACCTATATTTATAGATTCAAGGGAACTCAAAGCCAATTTTCCTAAGGGGATTTTTTGTTTCCCATCATGTTAGTAAGACTCTTTCAATAGTATAATGGGCATCTCTAATGTGTTGAGACTTTGTATGGGCTGTTAAAAGTCCTGATGAAAACCATGAAATGAAATTAAGTAATCCCGTTTTTTTCTTTTAAACTGTATTTTTGAGGCAGTTCCACATGAGGCTGCTTTCTGACAATTTACAGGGAATTAATTAATTAAGTTTTTTTCCATGAGTTTTAAACTTTTAGAGCTAGATTCACAAGGGGAATTTAGGTGCTGCAATGCATCATTATTTAGGTTCTTGAAGAGAAAAAGGGAGAATATTTTTCCTTTGGTGGCATAAGTGTCTCCATAAAGAGAGCAGCTGTTAACATGATTTCTCTCTTGTGATTTCTAGAACAAGTAGTTTTGCACTAAATCTCACAAATTAAATACAAAATTCTTTGCATTTCTATAGCTCAAAGGCTCTGAAAGAGCTATAAAAATATTAAGGAACTAAGCTTCAGAATACCCCTGCTAAGGAGGCATTACTATCACCACAGTACAGATGGAGAAACCAAGATACAGTGAGCTTATGTGACATGCCCAAGGTTGCACACTGAGTCTGTGACAGAGGTGGAATCAGAACTCATGTTTTAGCCATAGCACCATCCTTTCCCTCCACTATACATTATTGGGTGGAGGATAGTTCAATGGTTTGAGCATTGGCCTGCTAAATTTAGGGTTGTGAGTTCAATCCTTGTATGGGCCAATTAGAGATCTGGGGCAAAAATCTATAGGGATTGGTTCTGCTTTGAGAAGGGGGTTGGACTAGATGACTTTCTGAGGTCCCTTCCAACCCTGATATTCTATGATCAGGGCAATGCCTGAGACCCCCAGTCAAGTCTGGTCTTGCATAGATGATAATGGTTACACTGTTTTCTAATTTACTTGTAAATCATTATCATGACTCAATCATTGCTACATTGAGAACAGAATCACTCTATCCTTGATAGGATTAACTAAAATACCAGGTTTTTTTACACAACTTTAACAAGATTTAGGCGGTAGTTACTGTTCAGCTGAATACCATTCCATTTCAACAGGTTGATTTTCAGGCCTTAAAATCACCTTTTCATGTGTTCTGTATACCATTTGCTCAACATATCTGACAAATCACTGTGTAAAGTTGTTTACCAAATACACATTCAATTTGGATTCCAGATACTGCAAGATTCTAAAGAAAATGTCCCTACTCTTTGCAAAGAATGGACAGGTGCTGTTTTCTCTCCTTATATAATAGCACAGGAAGTCACCGTAATCCGATGGATGTACAGCCACCATCTCCTATCAGAATGAGAATATGTGCATGTGATAACAATTCACAAAGACTTAGCCATCAATTTTGCTGCATATTTCATATTGAATCATGAAATGAATGGCAGAACAATTTTTTCAAACATGAATACATAAAGCCAGTCACAACTGACCTGGTCTTTGATATCCTGAGCACTGTAGCCCCCATTGACTTCAAAGAGATTCTGATAGTTCTAATAATGTCACCACTTACATTTACGTGCCTAATTATGATGTAAGGGGCCTAATTTCAGACACCAAGTTTTGACATTTTTTCATATAATCCTCCTGGAAAAGTTTTCCAGACATAATTATTTTCAATGTAGTTGATCTCATAGGCCTAACTACCTGTTAAATAAATTTTAAAATGATTGGGGATTTTGTGTTTTGTTTCAGATTACAAATCAGACACTGAAAGTTTATATTGGCAATAAGTAGCCATTGGTATAACGTATCTCACCTTTAAAGTAAACATAGTTGACAAGGACCATTACAGTGAGTGGATCAAGACCCTGGACCAAGTTGGCAATTTTCCCATGGGTTTTCTTCTCTATATAATCATTGATCTGTTTCTCAGCCTCTGGAGGATTCTGGAAATTACTATGAAAAGCTTCTGCTTCATACAAGCTTTTGACGTCTTCCAAAAACTTCTGTAGCAATATCAGCTTCTCATCAACAAAAAGGGCATTTCCCAGATTCAGCTGGACTTCAATGTCAGGAAGGTTTAGCCAGTGAATGAGATCACGAAAACCTTCATGTATCTCCTTCTCCTCAATCTCTGTCAGGTTAAAGGCGAGTCCTTCCAGAATCTGAGTCAGAGTGGTTGATTTAGCACCTAGAGCCACCATGGCTAAAGCAGTGGAGATGCTGAAAGGAGAGAAGAAAATATTCTTCTCAACTGCATCTGATGTAACCTGCTTGTAGAATCTAAATGCAAAGTCAGCATTGCTGGGAGTTATTTTGGAACAAGCCCGTGGTTTGCTTTTAGGATTTCCTTCAGCACTGTGATGATGTTCCTGGGGCTTTTTATCATCATGGTGGTCAGGGTCATGAGTACAGTGGACAACAGCAAGAAGTCCAACAAGTAACACACACAGATAGAGGGTTGGCTTCATTTTCCTTTGGAACAACGCTATGAAGAAAGAATGAAAGTCATTATATCTATGGAACAGTGTAATGAAAATTGTTCTTCTTTTTCCATGTAAAAATAGACCTAGTGATTATTTTCCAGATATTAGTGTTTCCTGTTGTCCCACTACTGATGCATTTGGAGAGACTCCTTCCCCTTAGTTTCCTTGCAATTCTCAGATATTTCTCCCCACGTCCCTTCAAGTCAGTAAGCCTTCAAGAAACTGAAGACTTATGGAAAGGAAAGGGGATTGGATTTATTAGACAATCAGATGTGAGACAGCTATGTCCATCTTTGGAGTCAGAGAAAGAGAACAAGTGGGGATAGACAGGATTTTTTATCTGAATCTGAATAGAGTGGACAGAGAGGGACCACGTTTGGAACAGTTTATTTCCTCCGAAACAGTTCACCCACCCCTGTCTTTAAGAACCATCATGTTTATTAGTATTAATAGGTTTGTAAAAAGGTGCATATCAAACGATGCTTGTCTTTCTATAACAGCACAGCTATATCAAAACCTTTTCTAATGATTCTATAACAATCAAAAACATACTGGGCTCAATTCTCCCCTACTCCTGAGCCCCACTTGTGACATATGAAGCAAACAGTTACAGCTCCTTGGCCCAGATATGGGTTAGAGTAGCCCAGCTGCTCCTCTATCTCAAACCAGTGTCACATTGGAATAGTGGAGAGCCATAACCCCAGCAACTGGATCTGCATAAAAAACATAATTTTTTTTTTTTTTTTTTTTTTGCTTCACTGGCAATTCAAACCCAAAATGATTTTATTTTTTATTTTTTTTTTTATTTTCAGCAAGTCAAAATTGTAAAAAATAACTCCCGGTCAAAAGGTTCTGGTTTGATTTTGAGCATTTTAAATATTTTAATAATAAAATTAAAGTAAATTTTGAAACAAAGCTGTTGTAAACTGAAAAATCTAAATGTTTTGCTTAGAAAACATTGAAACAAAATGTTTTGATTTTTTTTTCTCATTTCCTTTTTTTTTCTGACTGAAACAGGGAAGCAAAACTGCCATGAATTCTCAATGTTTTTTCTCAAGCACCTGATCTGCAAACCAAAGCACCAAACCAAAGTAGCTGTGGGCACACGCAGCCGTCTCACAGACTCTTTGAAATGTTTTTGAAAACAGGCCCACAACTTCCTAGGTTTCTTTCAAGGGGGAAAAAAGGCCCCAGTTCTAAAATTCACCGGCACTAGCTGCAAAGGCCTATCCACCTGACTGAGTCTATAGGGCCACATCTATAGGGCCATATCTACCATGCAAGCACACAAACTGGTAACTAGTACTGGGGAGCTCTGTGGGAAGAATGGTGGAGGAATGCTCCCCCACAGGGACAGAATCACTCCACGGCCACTCTCACAGCTCAGAGGTTGAAGCAGTTACGCCTGAACCTCAGTACCCTGATCAGTTATCCAAGATGAACTCCAAGATGTACAAGGAGAGTAACTCATGGCTGTGCCCCTCTTTGGGCTTCAGAATGTGCTTTATCAGTGCAGCAAGATCCTTCCCAAACCTCCCTCCCCAGTCTGGAGTGGCTTGCCTGACAGAGAGCCCTAGCAGGGACCAGTTTCAGCCTGACTCTCAGCCTGTATGATTTTACAGGGCTAACAGTTTACAGGAAAAAAACATTCCTTGTAAACTGAGCACATTTGATCTGGAGCTAGTGCCCGCCTAAACATGCAGCCCTACAATGTCTTTTTACAGTCACTATTCAGAGTACAGCCACACTTTAGGAACTGCATTGAACTATTCTTCAACATTTGCCATTAAATAGTGTTTGACTCTTAGTCAAAGCACAATCTCACAAGGGTATCAATTTCTGCTGTTCCTCTGAGTGACTGCATAAGACAGGCCAAGCTACAGAGCAGATTGTTCTCTATGGCCATTACAGAATCACCCACAGGAAAATGAAATGATCCTATAAACTAAACTCCTTATAACATGAACTCGTCTTTAAGGAAAAATGAATACAATACTTACAGTATATTCAGAAGGACCCAGCTGTGTCTATCTGATCTGCACTGCTCCTTGCTCCATTATTTATACTGCTGACCAGCATTAAGCACCTTGCCCTCTTGTTAAATATTACATAGATCAAAGTAAAATGATCAATGAGGTCAGACAAAATGCTGATGAAGCTAGTTTTTCTGGACATCTAGGTTCATGGACCCACCATCTATGCACGTAGAGCAGATTAAAGCCAAGGGTCATGCAGTCCAGCTAGAGGGTAGTTGTGGTTATGATGTTTCTATGCGCCTGTAAGCCTCCCTGTGCAAATACACGGTGGAGCCAAGTACCCCAGAATGCACTTACAAAGTACAAAAGCCATAAAGCTCATTACTGTGTTTAAACCAGCAGAGGTCAGAGTGTACAGCTGTGGTGGGGGAGCCAATGACAGCCCAGGCATCAGCCACTCTTTCAGGGATCCTGGAATCTGGACCAAGGGACTTTTCTGTATGGCTGATTGGAGACCTACATGGCTGAAGCCAGACTTTCCTGTGAATCCCCAATCTTACACTGGCACCACATATGACTCCCTGCACTTCTCTCGTGTAAGTCTGCAGCTGAAAGGAGGATGCAGAGAAGAGAAACCACCCTCAACCTGGTGAGCTTTCACATGGACTCTTCCTCTGCAGAATTTTTCCACTGTAGTGGATTGGTCAGTTTCTAATATCCTCAGCAAGCATGTCCTTCTTGAGTCCTTGCTCATGTTAGCTGTAAGAATTGATCTTTTATTAATATGAGTAGAACTGGAATTACTGATTTTGTTTACACCAGATCTCTAACACTGGACCTCTTGAATTTGTATAAAAACAACCATCTCCTTACTCATTAGTGAAATCCCCCATATTATTGATGTAAGCAGAGTCAGGATAAGCTCTACCCTGACATCTGATGGTGAATTATGGTGAGGGTTGAAAAGAACTTCAGGGTCTGATCTTGTTTGCATAGGCACACCCACCCGCCTAGCCTGGGACAACAACAACTGAAAGTGGTTACTTTGGCTGGTGTGGGATCCCCAGTTTCTCTGTTATTGGGGCAGGAAGAATAAAGTGTTTTTACTCTGATTTTGTGAATCAAGGCCAGTGGAACTGTTGTATGACAGAGGGACTCACCAGTAACTAAGTAGCACTTGCTAGACAAGGGGCATGGGTTACAAAACCCAGTGAATTGAGAGAGGTCAGGGATGGGTATGTATATCTGATGGTATGGGCCTGGAACACCAATTGTATTACCCGCCCTCTTCTCTCCCCCCCCCCCCCCCTGTTGAATAGCAGAGCTAAGTTTGCTTCCATGAGGAGTCTAGCTAGAAGGTGCTGAACTGAATTCACTTTGGGCCAATGGTGCACTACCAGTGGGGCTCCCCTACTACAAGCTGAAATCACCACGAGCTGCAATCACTCAAAGAGCTAAAATTGCTGAGCTGAGATCACTGAGTGCTGTGTTAACCAGTGGGGGAGCCTGAAGATATATTGCTAAGCAGCTGGCAGAGACGAGCAGTTTGTGAGACGGTTGGAGCAGCCCATAGAACAGCAAGCGGAGTGGCGCAGAGCTGAGCCATTTGCAGGGGCAGCTGGAGCGGTTCATGGGACGGCTGGTGGAGCGGCTGGCAGAGCTGAGCAGTTTGTGGGACGGTTGGAGCGGCCCACGGAACGGGGAGCAGAGCGGAGCAGTTTGCGGGGACGGCTGGAGGAGCGGAGCGGAGCAGCGTGGCGCAGCTAGCAGAGCGGAGCCATTCGTGGTAAAGACTGCAGCAGAACTCCACAGAGAGGTGGGGCAGTCGGCCTTGGACCACGTAAGGTGCCCCTTAACATCCCATGTGCCCCCCCCATTTCCGCCCAGGCTGGGGTGGGGGGTAAAACTCTGCAGATAAACTTTTGAACTCTGGGGCGGCACTGACCAGGCACAGAGACTTTGGGGTTGTTGGACTTTGGGATGATTAG